TTAAAGTTGACTCAAGTTGCACTATTTCTGGCAGTCTGCAAAGGCCCTCAGTGTATCTTCTGGATCCATTAACTTCTTGTTATCTTATAATAATGTTATTCCCTTGTCTTCAGTAGATTGACAGTGCAATTGTCTGCATATTTACTTAGACAATAATGCCACTGACATTAATGAGGCTTAGAGACCCAACGTGGCACAGTGGTTTGTGTGTTGGACCACAACTCTGAAAACCAGATTTCAATTCCCTGCTCAGCCATTAAACCAACTGGGTGACCTTAGGCAAGTCACATGCTCTCAGCCTCAGAGGAAGGCAATGACAAAGCTCCTCTGCACAAATCTTGCCAAGAAAACCCCATGACAAGAAACGACTCGAAGGCACACAACAACTACAACAACCGTCTGGAGTAAGTGCAGCCTAGTCTCTATGAATAAGGTTACTTTAATAAAGCAATGGCCAAATATCACAAGATCTCAAATAACTGGTTAGCTAGCTGTGTTAAACCGTAGAAAGATAATCTCAATTCTTATTTTTTTCCCAATTAGAATTGCAAATTCAAACTTAAGGGGTTGCAGACTGCCAGAAATAGTGCTAATTGAGTCCACTTTAAGGGTTAGGGTTAGTGCTAGGGAATCATGGGATTTTTTTTCTGAGACATTGCGCCTGCTCTTTCAGAGAGCTCTGGTGCCACAATAAAATAGTTCCCATGATTCCCTAACCCTAACCCTAAAAGTGGACTCAATCTGCACTATTTCTGGCAGTCCTAGCACAATCCCCATAGTAACAAGTAAAAAAATCCACCAAGTTTAGTAGGATTTATTTCTACCTGTGAAGCTATTCCTATAATTTCTTCCCTAATGTGTGCGTGGTAAAAGAAAGGACAGAGGCAGCAAGAAAATAGTGTTACAAGAGGAAAAGAGGGGGGAAGAACCTGTGGCAGGCAATGGCGTGGTAAAAGCTTCATATGGGAGCACACCCAGTAAGCGTGCATTTGACTAATTTGTTACTTACAATGGAAGTGGCCATCTTTTAAGTGTATTTATTTGTAGTATTATCTATCGCTTTTCAATCCACCTAAAAGCTGCCAACCAAATTGAGGTGACAAATAGTGGCTCAAAAAGCCAGGCAGAGAAGGTGGAATTGGACATCTCCGAGCACCTGCTCAACCCAGGAATTTAGGGCCTTTGCAGGCTACCAGAAATAGTTCAAATTGAGTCCACTTTAACTGCCCTGACTCAGTGCTAGGGAATCATGGGGACTGTAGTTTATTGTGGCACCAGAGCTCTCTGACAGAGAAGACTTAATGTCTCAGAAGAAAATACAATTCCCATGATTCCCTAGCACTGAGCCAGGGCAGTTAAAGTGGACTCAATTTGAACTATTTCTGGCAGTCTGCAAAGGCCCTTAGTTTCAGAGCCAGAACAAATCCTTTCCCACACAAATCTCCTTGTGCTTCCCTCATCCCTAAGCTTTCTTGATTTCATCAGCCTGAGTTATGCGACAAAGGGGTTTTTGTTGCTGCTATAGGGAAAAATTTGGAAGCTTGCACTGCCCCACTGTAAAGCACCCAGAGATCTACTAGTAGATCCCAGTCTACCTTCTGCTCTTCCCTGTATTAGTTAATGAACACATATGTCAAAATTAAGTACCCCTTAAGTCTCATTAATTTAAACTAGAGATAATTAAGCAAGTGTTAAACTTTTCTAGAAATTTTCCCCTAAATGCTTATTTCTTATACACCCATGGTGTACCATTTCCCTCTGAACTTTCCAAATCCAA